ACTAGGTCCTTAGAAATGGAGACCCTCCTGGGACACACCCAGCCGGCTGAACATGATATTGGTCCTTGCACAAACGTTAGGCGAGAAACAGTACTTACTAAGTACAGAACCCAAGACCCATTGGTTGTAGTAGTACCGATCCCTTTGTTTTGTTACGGAATAGTATATTTACATATAGAACAAAAATAACTAGATACCGGTTTTGTAAGTATTTATTTACATATGTTTTTTCCAAGCCTTGAACCTCTTCGGCCTTTTGATTTAACTTTCATAAGCTTTAAAAGAAAATAAAGAATATTTTTTACTTTTTTGTACATGTTTAGAGGATATCACGTATTCATATGCAGAGCTTTATATACTCTTCATTGTTTTAAAAAAAAAACAGTTAATCTGTTATTAATGGCTAATTTGTGTCATGATTTTGTAAGAGCTTCTATCGTTTTTTTTTTTAATAAGTAGTGTATTCCAACATTTAAAAGAATTTTAAGTAAAATAGATGGAACAAAGTATCGTAGATATTCATAATTTTTTTTTTTTAATTCTGTTCATTTTACTAATTATGGTGTCATGTTTCATAAATTCAAAGCCATTGCTTTCAACCAATGTTTTATTTACTTTTACTTTATCATATGTGACGACGTTTCAGCAATTTTCAAGTCTTAAATCATTTTTTTCTAGCCGTATCCAAAAAAATAAATACAACTTTAGTTAAAAGTAACAGCCTTGAATATATCAAAAATGAAAAAAAAAAAATCTAAATTATATTTCAATCATCAAAAATCAATACATAATTTTTTTCTGTGATTAAAAAAAAAAAATTTGTTATCTAAAAGTGAAAATTAATTACATATAAATGTGTTCATATTTAGCTTTTTATTTATCACGAAAGCCCGTTCGTTAGCAATAACATTTAGCTGAAACATCGTTGACGAATCTCTCGAAATGACATTCCTCCCATCAATGAGTTGTGTACCCAATGACCGAAACTGTGTTAATTGGATCCTACTAGGGCCGCCATCGACCCGCTCAATTGACGTTATTGTCCGATGCATACATCAATAAGGAGCACATAACACGTGTATTCAACTAACACTGGAATTAACAGCCCCAGCTAATAAATGAACTCAACTGACATAATGTCCAAGTAATGGGGAATTACGAGATTCGTTAGTAGTAGTATACCATAGCAGACTATTTGGTAAGCAATGTGTTGAGCGACATTACAAACTGAATCAAACATGAGCGGAACCCCCAAGAAAACAAAGTACATCACAAGGAATACCAGTCAGTTTTGGAAAAATAACGCGGCAATCAACTAAATCCGGCTTGTTGAATAACTAGAGGAAACCTAAATCAGAGAGAAGTAGAGTTTATAGCATAGTTATTCTTCTGTCAAAAACAAGTAGATTCACTGTTATTCCCCTCTCTCCCTTCAACTTTAATGTAAGAATAAGTATATATGAAGCTCAGAACTGAAACCTCTATTTTCCGCAAAGCTTGCAATGTTATTGATCGATCATATGTGTATCGAGCAATGCAAAATTAATGTCGTCCAAGTCATTATTAGGACCAAAATGAGTATTGTTAAAAAAACAAAAAACGCATTTGGATATTTTTTGTTTAATAGGTGTGCTCATGTTCAGCTTTTTTATTTAATAATATGAAAATCCGTTCCTTAGTAATAATATTTAACATTAACTTCGTTGACAAATCTCTCGAAATGGGTTAAATATTTTATAATAACTTAGATGTGCTCCTCAGTGTGTTTAACCACAATTAGCTAAAGTTCTCGGCTGTAAGAAAGATAAGCCGAAAATTTAGATTTCAATAACCACAAGAACTTACAGAGACGAGACTGTGGTGGTTAGATTTTCCATTTATAACCTAACATCTAATTTTTTACTCGTTTATATTAAAATGATAAGAATTGTATATTTTTTTAAATTAATATTCGTTATCATCATACCAAAAAACACGCATACCAAAACAAAATTACAATTATTTGAAAATGTATATATTTGTGGCACCTGTGAATAGTGCTTTCATAATTTCTTATTAATATTAATTGCAAATATCATATTTTCTGAAAAACGAAATTGAAAGTTTGGCATTTTCATTTCTGCATGTTCTATTTATGAGTTTCAACGCATGATTCACAAATTAATATTCATCTCTGTAATAGCCACATAACTTAATAACCCATTAGAAAGAAAGAAAGAGAATAAAAATTAACTTTATGGTGATACCCATACAATTTAAATGAAGTATACTTGACACACTATTCACAGGTGCCACAGACATATTTCTCTAACAGAGTCAAGTATTTAAAAAACGAAACAAAAAAAAAAGATAGGTTTTGCTAAGGATGTTGGTTTGTCTTATCTGGGACTTCTCACGTGACATACCAAACGCAACATAATTTAAAAATTCTGCCTAAGTCCAAGTTCAATTAGAACTAGCTAATGTAGTGATTCATTTAATGTACAAGTTTGTAGATGAATATCAATGTAATAGTTGGCCAATTATAGTAATAAATCAATGCATTTTTTTTTTTTATGCCTGTTTTGAATCTCTGCTTCATCGTGGAGACGAAAGTGGAAAACAGATCTCGGAAGAGAGCCATCTCTGACCAGAGAGAAATCGGGCCTTATCGAATCGTAGTCGATTCTCAACGGCCTTCGAGGTCTAGATCGATTTTCATGACCTTGGCATTCCGTTAGGTTCACACCTTTGGGTCACAAAACATCAATGATTCCTTTTCAAAATAACTATCGAATTAATAGCGGAACTAAAAAAATATATATTCGAACTAATTAATTAATGTTCTCTATGATATCCCAAAGGATCAAATTTCCGCAAGAGATATAGAAAGGATACAATATCATCTGTTTCTGGACAAAAGTATTACTTATAAAAAGAAAAACAATTTTTAAATATAAATATTTCAGTTATGTCCATCCAATGAAGACACAATCAGTTCTTAGTGCTGAGAATCACAAGTAAACAAAAACATAATTATCATAAGATTAAGCAAATCTCTAAAGTAGACCATAGTATTGCAGGAAGTAATTAACGTGTTCAATGAAGGCATGCAGCGGTAATCATTTCCACTGTCTTTATAATTGCTTCTTCTTTTTCCTCATCACGAATACAATTTTACAATCCGGTATCAAGTAAGCACAAAATTTTATTCAATAGATCCAACAGAAAACTTATCATTATCGTTTAAATTAGTTTCTCAACCTATCTTAAATGACCTAGTATCCACGTCTAAAGAAAACGATTCATCCTTTAATATTAAGTAGAATGATATGAAACCAGTTTTTCATTGTTTCTGTTTTGGTTGGCATTTCATCAAATTTTCCCAATATCATGAGAAAATTAATTTCGCGAAAAAGGAACGTTTGGAGAAAAAAATATTTTGCAGTGCATATGTGAGCAGTTTAAGATACAATTATTTGCCTACAGATAAACTGAGGTCAAGGAAACCTAGAATAATAGGCCCTTACAATTTTTTATTTAGTATATCAATTACATTCTTGTTCAAACAACTTGAATTGAACAAACCATTATCTATCCGCCAATATCAGAATTGCCTCGGGATAGTGCAGAATAAAATAATCAAAAACTAGTCCCTGAATAAACAAGAAGCATCTTAAAACAGAGTAGTCCTGGAGTTGCTAAGATTAAATGAAAATGCTTACATGTAATGTAAGCAATATCTTTGGTCAAATTTTAAATGACAGATTTAACACGAAAGAACTCATAAAATATTTATCCAGTGATCTTTTTGGTATACTTTTATCAGGAATATAATACTTCAATTTTATTTATTCTTATTATAACTGTTTTAAAACTACTTTTAAGAATTGGAGAGTTTCGATATAATCTATATATATAAAAATGAATGTATGTCTGTCTGTCTGTCCGTCTGTTAGTCCTTAGTGCATTACTAAACCATTCAACCAATCGCCATGAAACTTTGGGAAATTGTTCCTTACACTCCTGGGAAGGTTTCTGGCATAGTACTTCTGTCTTACGATAATTTTTATTTGTAAAAAAAATAAAAATGTAAATATTTTTTGTTCAAAGCCTCAAAAAATGTGTCGCTATAAACTGTAGTGCCAAAACGGCTTTACCGATTTTAACGAAACTTGGCTAAAGTCTTCCCCTTGAAACCCTTTTAATTCATGTGTATAACATACTTTCCCGAAAACAAGCTGAAAAATGTTACGATGAATAATATTCAATATTTTATTTGACGATAACTAAAAAAGTACACAATTTTTTACTGATAATGCTCACATTTATATGAAAGATTTCTGAATCGCTGACAAAATAAAAAAAAATCATCGAAATCGGACGGTTCGTTGTGCAGAGTTATTGAATACGTATTAACCTTACTTATAACGCATACTTGTAAATCAATGTGGTCTTAAGCTTCTCAAATTTTTGGTTGCGCCAAAAAAGCAGGTATATAAAAAGACTGAACATTTTAATCCAAAATATTTAGACTTATGATAGAAGCTACGGTAGCCTAGATGTTACGAAAATTTACAGGGAGACAAAAATCAGTTTATCACAAGACTAGATATCAGAATGCCTGGCAACAAAAGTAGGCTGAAAAGGTCGTAGATGAGAGACCTGTAAATTTCTTTTATTTTTGTCTAAAATAATTCCATAGAATAGATACCGCTGGTATTTTGCTTCCTCATGACTGAAGTGTGCTTTTTATTACTGATTTAGACAAACCACTCAATGTCAATGCAATATTGGACAGCTGAGGATGCTTAAATAAATAAGATAAAAAATTGAAGCAGTATGCAGGTGAGACAGCTAACGGATATGTTGCCAATAAATGCAGAGGATAGTAACAATGCCGTCTCGATAGTCGCATCGCCGTGACGTAAATAGTCTTTGGAATGGTTCCTGGGGGTGAGCTCTTTCACGTATCCACGCGAGGAGCACAAATAGACCATCCACTTCTATCTATAGGGTATCTATATCGAGGTTCGGGGACCGTCTATAAGGGGTTGCCGATGGAGCGCTACAGGAATAGCGTTCGCGGCATCTGACCCTTGTAGGGCACTCCTGAAGGGCGGGATGCTATCAGGATCACGTAATGGATGAGTAAGGCAAAGGATATGGTGTACGGTTTCAGGATCGCAGCAGACGCATTCATACAACATAATCCACATTTCAATAAACTGAAGAATTTAATTGAAAAAATGTACCAATTTCTACGTTTAATACATGTTAGGAACAAATCCTGTTGTGGACGAAACACTAGGACAACGTTAACAACCTAATAAATCGGAAAGATAACTTATGCTCCGACAGCGTGAACTGAACATGAGCAAACTAACGAGGTGTATGTGTGTGCAGCGGGCGTGGGCTAGCGTACGTCACTCCTGCCAACTGGCCCCTTACATCTAGCTAATTGATGGAGACCTCTGCACTGAGCTTCATGTCCGCTCCTATCAGCCAACATAGCAGTTTGTCGTCTGTCGGGATGAAATATATACATCTGGCAAAGGAATGTAAATTAGTAATAAAGTTAGAAAGAATTCAAAATGGTCACTAAAAGCAAGGTCGGTAAAAGAAAAATCTCTACATACACATTTTTTGGAGGTACTGACGGAAAACATGGCCGACAATATGGCGGAAAAATTCGAATACAAATCCAACTGCATATGTTTTCATTTTTTTTTTTTTTTTAATATTTTCAAAAATTATTTAAGGTTTAAGAATGTCCCATGGAGTGGTCTTTCGTAAATATTAGAGAAAGGAAAGGGAATAAATGCTGAGGATGTTTTTTACGTAAGTATCGTCAGTCACTTTTAGTAAAATAACAATTAATACTTAGAAATCATACGTCATAAAAGATTAAATGTTCTATTGAAAATAAATATTAAACAATAGATAAACACAAAAAAAAAAAGGCCAACATTGATAATAATGAAGAAAATGAAATTTTATTTGCCAATAAAAACGTTATTGACGATATGCAAGTTGATGACACCCATGATTATTTGAAAGGTTAATAACTTCCCTTCAGATTGAAAATTAATCATCGAAATCGAAGCATTATTAGCAAAGACACAGGCTATAGTAATTTGCAAACATTTCTCGGTTTATTATCATAAATTAATCCCTCCATTTCATAATACATTGCATTAACTTATTTCCTTATTATTTTGTCACTTGTTTACTGACCAATTGACTGACTATGAGGATTATTCACACGGATCGACTAGTGATATATTTTGTTTAATATATCTTATTTATACGTTCGAGCATAAAATCAATAAGAAGATTCGAACTGTTATAAAAAATAGGCCAAATTTACTAGAAATTGTTCACGAGAAAAACAATAACAAAATATTGACAGCTAATGATTCATGTAACAAAATAGATACTGATAACTATAATATCAGTACCTGCTACTTTCTACAGATAACAGGTATCAGGTTAAGCCTGATAAGGTGGAGATAGAAGGAACCAGAGCGATTACTGCGCTCTATACCAACTTTCTTATATATAGATGATTAAAATAAAAAAAAAAGTTTTATAAAAAAAATATACAAGAATGGTATATTCTCACAGAAATAACAATATTGAAGCCGGCCAAACATTTTAAAAATCTTATCGATCATTCCCAATTTTTTTTAACATGGTAAAACCAAAAAAAAAAAATGTTCGGTGATCAACCAAACTTATCATGCGAGAGATTTGCTGAGAGAGATGAAATACAACCAATGCAAATGTTAAAAACAATTAGAAAACAAATTATGGCAACACTGCAGGAGAAATGTCAAATAATTATTTAATCCAACGAGGCCTGTCTAGAAATGACGTAGGAATAATGTGTTTTGACTAAAACCTTCAATCCTAGACTCATTAGAAAGCTTGAAAATATTCTTAATATGTGGTTTTTAGTTATCTTAATCATTTTTATAATTCTGAGATGGTTCGATAAATCAATACTTGTTTGAAATAAATAAAAAAATATCGTGAATTGATTTCAAGTTCTACTTCGGCTGGATACCACCACATTTTTTTAATGTGTTTTAAAGGCGTCAACACCACCCGGATCATTACAGCCTTATTTGAAACCACAATTTGAAACTGTTCTTGATATTGTTCCCGAGAATAACAAAAAACTTATATTTTATACTTATTGCTCAATATTAGAAGTACTTTTTAATAATATTTCTTTTTGGAAAATTCTTTTCTATTATTCAAAATTATGACAGAAATAATTTTTAATTTACAAATTACTACCATAGTGAAAAATGTTGAAACTGAATTTAGATCTTTCAGTTGAGAAAATGACTACTTCGAAGCTCATACATATAATAAGGCTTCGCAAACACATTTACACTGTACAAATTACTATAAATCCTATATTTGCTAATATTGATCCGAGTTAAATAATTTTTATTTCTGTTACAGGATATTTTTTTAATCTTTTTTTTTGGATTAGCTCTCCAGACCTTTTAGATCTTTCGTCGCCTTAACCGCCCTTTTTAATTACAACCGATTTTGGACTATTATTTCCAGTTTCTGCAGCTTCTCGCCTACTATTGAGGTCTTCTTTGTTGTGTAGGGGCTTCCAGATTGATTGCTTCGAGCTATATACCACGCCGTTCTATACCTCCTTGCCTCTAGATCATTAGATATTGATTGACCATTTTCTGTAAGCTTGAAATGATCAATATTTAATATAATGTGTAAATTTGGAACACATGTGCCAGGCTCTCTTTTCTGTATAGTTTTTCCATGCATGAGATATAATGGGAATTGAAATGTAAAAGCTGATGGGTTTTAAGGATTTTTTTTATGTTTAAACAAATCAATTGATTTTTTTCCAAGTTCCTAATTATAACATTAAAAAAAAAAAGATAAATAAAACGTCCACCGTTTAACAGATAATCGTCGTAAAGACATTCAGAAACATACACAATTAGCTGAAAATGCGTTTTATTGATTTGTGAGATATACCTATAATACTTTTTTTGTCGAGATGATAAGGAAAGTTTTGTATGTGTGTGTATATATATATACACTATATATATATATATATATATATATATATATATATATATATATATATATATATATATATATATATATAGTGTGTATATATATATATATATATATATATATATATATATATATATATGTAACAAAGCCATTCTGAAGCAATAACTACAGATAAATTTAAATATTGTACTTATTTAGTTAAGAGATCATTCTTTATTGCTCCTATTTAGTTTCCGAGACCTTAAGCATGGTCTTCTTGCCAACGTCAGCTTCGAAAAAAAAAATCCTCCTCCGACGCGTGGTGAAGGACAGAGAGCCCCATTGTTGCCACTGTAAACAGGCTGGCCAACATTAGTGACAGTTTCGTGAGGAAAGTTTTTAACGAGAAACAACCAATTATCTACCCATGAGGTGATCCAATGATCACTTTTCCGAATCACCCGAAAAGGTCACGAATAAGAGACATTTGCCAGCAAAGAAAGTAGTTGGCTAAGATTGTGGCAACGTGCGTTGTCAGCATCCGTCAAGGAAATTAATAGTAACAGAGTATATCAATAGAAATGTTAATGATAATACAATGGAGAAACATTCTGAGACAACCCAAATCGCAAGGTTTTGCGATGAACAAAACGATGAAGTTGAAGATGTAGGTTCCTTCCTTAATAGATACAATGTTAGCTATTCCCAGAAGGATGTCTTCGACTTCGAGTCGATCCATGGTGACAGCCCAAAACTTTGCATTATTTATCTTGCATTGAAAGGGCGGTTGTTTCAATATAATACTTCATATTACGATAACTTTCTTTATTAAGTAATATTACATTTTGTCACAATAAAGGACATAAGTAGTAGAGGTAGAGTAACTCATTTATACTCTATTTACAATTTAAAAAAAAATTAAACTATAGCAACAAAAAATATATATATATATACATAAACAAAGAGAAACTTGAGCTAATCACAAAAACAATTTAAATACAGGCATACCCTTACGATAACTAAAATTATCTTACATCGGAGAAGTCGGAATTAAACTTGTATTGATAAGTCCATTATAAGACTTCATATTTATTTATGTATTTGTTTTTATTGTTGTCTCTACCCTGGAGGGCCAATGGCAACACTTCCTATTCATACTCTGTTGTAGAATTTTCTAATTTTTAAAAATTGCAAAGTTTTTTCCACGGCTTTTTCGTTGCTAGTGAGGTTTTCTTTTAGACTCTGAGGCATATCCAAATTTTTCCTTATATTCTTAAATACTGGGCAGTCTTAGATGATATGTTGGACTGTTCTTTGCACCTTACAGCACTCGCAAGACGATGGGTCTAGTCTTCTTAGTAAATAGCCATGTGAAAATTCACAATGCCCAATTCTCAAGCGGCAGAGGACTGTCTCTTCTTTTCTGGAGAGTCTGTTACTAGTTTTCCATTTGGAACAGTAGCTTTTTATTTCTTTTAATTTGGTTTCTTTTTGCTGCCATACGTTCTGCCACATTAAAGCCAATTTTTTTCTTTATATGCTGTATAAAATCTTCTATCGGGATTTCGTTAATTATAACTGTTGGATTTCTTTCTAGCCTTCTAGCCATATTTGCTGCTTTGTCTGCCTGTTCATTTCCAACAATTTCGCAGTGTGACTTCATATTGTAATAATTTACTCAAAATTAATCTCAGTACAAATATCCCGTACTAAACAATTTTTAAATGCTATTTATTATCTATCTATTTAATATGGAATTATGTAAAGATTTTTTGACCGATAAACCGATTTCTAAGTCGGATGACTAGAACCAGACCACTAGGTCTGGTTATCCTGTTTGGATATACACAGAGACAAAAGTACAATAGAATTTATAGGATTCAAAGGCAAGTTGTAACTTGTTAAACTCGTTCTCCATCTTTTGGGAGCTCTCCTGACTGATTTGCGAAGAATCGGTGTTTCGACTTGTTCTGTGAATTGCAGCTCATATGGATTTCAATTTTACTAGACGAATACGAACTCACTGTTTTATTTTACTCAATTCTTGAGGACTTTCCTAGCCCGGGTGTTCCAAATCGTATAAATACATACAATTTCTACATACACATATAATAACTCTTGGGATGATTAAATACATAAATATTGATGATATCACTAAAATAAAATGAAACATAAAAATACAAGAGGGAGTGAATATGCTAATGTTAGAAGAGAGACGAAACCAGTTCCCCTCACGAGGAGGAGAGTGCATCGGCATGAGTCGCTGAGTTGGCAACCTAAGGCAAAAACAGGCTCATTTCCCTCTTCCTAGCGTCCGAGGCCCTTCCTACAACGCTACAACGGCAAAAGCTTCTTTAATATATGAAGAAATGAGGAGAATTTACAACAAAAAAAAAAGTTTGACAACTTAATGTCTGCCAAAGAAACGGAAGGTCATTCAACAAATAACTGTTTGCTATAGTATTTAATGGACTTCATTGCTTCCACAAAAGAGTTCAATAAACCATAAAAATAATAATTATATTATATTACAGTAATAAACTGATGACTGGACCACGTGACTTTTTCATGTCATCTATTCTCCGTTAATTAGCTATAAATTTATAATTATATACAGATTCAATAAAACCAGTTCAACTACATTAACGTATCACGTAGTTGAGTACTTTATTAAATTAGAGCGCGCAGATAGAGTTAAAATTCCCATAACTAAAGGTTAAAAAACTTACAACTCCATAAAGATAAAATATTAGATATAAACTTGAGTGTAATGTTCTTCTTACATGCAACCCCATCGTGGATTATTAATGTAGCCTCAAGATCTTTGGAATTATTAACACGGTGTCACAATTCGAAAAAAGGTCTCTTCATGCAATAACTAATAGAAACAGAGCTGAAGCTCAAGAAAATCTGAGCATATTGTCGATACAAATGCCAACTATCGAATATGAAAAATTCCTATGTCTTCAATCCTGTATTATAACAACTGCAATTGTAATTAAATATTTTTAAACAGCGAATATAAAATCTTCACGCACTCATAAAAGCACATATTAGTGTGAAAATTAAAACAACCTCATTGCTTTGGCTGAATTAATAATGTAATTACAGTGGTGATTTTCAGGTTCGATAGTTAGCAATTGTATCGAAGATATGGAAGAAGAATGAGAGAATGTACTAACATCCAAAAAAAAAGAAATACCATCACAAAATATGACATTTTCCACCACCTAAATTGAATTAATAACTACTCCCTAAAACAACACAACGGATATCCAAAGAGCAAAAATAATTGAACGGTGTTTAAAAGGTTAACTACGATATTATTTTAACTCAACCGTATTTTTTCATGATTTTGAAAAGACAAAAAAATAAATTATAGACCATTTATCTGAACCACCTTTGATTATGGTTTTTAACGACAATCTGTTAAGTGAGCACCCGAGAAAAAAAAAACTGCCACCATTAAGAACTAACAACTTTCTTCGATAATTTAAACACACAGGAGGCCTACAATTACGGAATGGATAGCAGGCCAAATGAAATCAGCTGATCGGAGGACCATCTGTCGACGGCGCCAGATATTACAACACATGGGGGCGCCCAATACAGATTTGGGCATGGGACTAAATAATGAGCCTTGAGCAATACCATACTGCCCTTATAAGGCCTTCCAGCAAAGCCTTATAAGGATCCGGGGGGGTCAGTGCCGGTGTCCTTCGCAAATGTAGGCTAGAATAATTTCAGGCTGACCGTCCCTAACCCGATCAAATGCTAAATACAATCTCATATTATTTTGAGATCATAATCGGAAACACATGGCGCCGTGCTTGATATTTATTAAATGGGCAATTTATTGCATAAGCGACTGTCTTTTTTTTTTTAAGAGGGTCGTAAACTAACAGCTGGTTTCACGCATATAATTAACGTTGGAAAGCCATGTTTACAAAACATTACCTTTTTTGGAAATAGAGATTGCTTCGATTACGAAATAGAACACCTTGAAGATAATGGCCGTCAGGTAATCAAATATAATGTGAAGAATGACAGAAAACACGGGGCAAATAACTACTAAAAAAGTGAGGTTTATAACTTAACTAAAATTTTAATGAAACGGAGATAACAAACAAGTAATAAATTCTATGGATAATAGATAATGAGGATTTATTGAATTTTTTATAATATGGATAACGTGTATTTTCTAAAAAAAATATCAACCAAAATGAAGTTGCACTACGTCTGTTACAAAAAAATGGAATTCATGGTTAATATTTGAGACGTATATTAAAAATTTACATCTGCAGAAATTATAATTTATTACTTATGTTAGTTCGTCGACAGTTCTACATATCACGAGAGATAGATAATCAGGTCTCAGTCAAGTTTTGGATGGTTTTTTGTAATACTTACGTATCAACTCAAACTTGTGGGTTGTCATCAGGGAGTTTTCAGTACAAAACGAGTACAAGATTTGGTGGAGTTAACTTCATCTAAAACGCCCTCATGATGACCAACAAGTTTGAGTTGAAACGTATGTAATACAAAAACCACCCAAAAATTGAGCGAGTGCTTATTATACCATCACCCATGATAAATAGAACAGTCGATGAATTAACATCAGTAATAGATTCTAATTTCTGCAAATGTAGATTGTTGACATACATATTAAATATTAACCACGGATGTGGTGAAAGTTCATTTTGTTTTGTTTTTAGAAAATACATGTTATCCATATACTTTTTCATTTGATTTTTTTTTTTTTTTTTTAACAACTTCTCGTCAGGCAAACTCTCCTTTCCGCTGATAGTCCATCGCTAGGTTTGGAAGAACGGGAGGCGGTGGAGAGTTTTAATGAAAGAGAAAGAGGAGGATGACTCGGAAGAAGAGACCCAGAGCCGAGAGAACCGAAGACGGAGAGGGGAGGAACCTGGCGACCTTGGGGCCCGAGGTGTGGCCTACACCATCCATGGCTTATTGTCTCACCGGTTCTCATATCTTCCTCTCGGGCGTTAATGTCACAACTAATAATTAAATGTAATAACATCAAAAAACTAACAGTCAGCAACAGTTTTCTCATCACCAATTGTGGCTAACAAAGAAAAAATAAATACAATACAAGAATTCAGGCCCATAGTGATAAAAACTTCAACTACCTTAACATTTTTTTTAAATAGTCACATTGAAAATGGTTTATATATTTCTATAATCTCACATAAATATAAACTAATTATTGGATTTAATTCATAAAAACAAGTAACCATACACAAATTAGAAATATATACTAAACAAATAGTGACCAACCAAGTAAAAATAAAAGAAACAACAAAATAAGATTTTTTTTTTTAATGAACTACTGGGCTATATAATAAAATGGCTATAGATATGATAATAAATTTTTAAATTGTTATATTTACTAGAATTTCATATACCTGATCACCTAACATATTATTTGCAGTTCCTACCCCAGCAAAACATTCATCATGCCCAATCTGCCGCTTAAACTATATTTAAATAGTAAAATTTTTTAAGTTTTGATTACAGGAAAAATATTGCTTGAAATATGAATTGAGAATATCAACAATTTTAATAACAATAAATACTTGATAACTATGATATAAAAAGGCTAAATTTGGAATTTACTCCATATTATGTTGCAAAATATGCTGTTTTTATATATTTATCAAACCTGTATATCAGATGTAAACTACCTTAACTTAAATATTACCACAGAATATGTTTCATACTGACGAATTTTCTTTAGAATGAATAAAATTGTCGGTTTATTTTACCATGTACTAACACTAATTTATCACCAGGAATTATATAAATTGTGTTAACACAAAGAATTTGCACTAAACTATAACTTATCTCTGAGGTGCATACTTTTCGAAAAAGTAAATATAAATTACTAAATAATTCTGATAATTTTGTGAAATCATCAGAACATTTGTATATCATAAAATAAATGATACCAAATTTCATGACATTGTTAATTAATAACAATATGATAAAACTACTATTAACATCATGCAAGGGATGAACTTACTTGAGAATTAATGAGAATTAATAACATAAAAAAGGCTGAACTTTTAATTTTTTTTTGTAATACAACCACTATCAAAGGATAATATACTAACAATCAATTAAATAGTATTTAATTTATATTTTTTACTAATTCATAACAAGTGACGATATTATTTTTAAAATATTATTTTAATATTTAGAGCAGATGGTTTGAAAACAATTACAGCTGAGTATATTCCATCATGGAGTATATCAGATGTTTAAAACAATTCAGGTTATGATGATAAAAATAAGCCAACCATACTCTTTCAGCAACGGTTTTAATGATAATAATAGTTTATGATATGTAAAATTGAAAGTAATTACATATATAAACCAGGAATATCCAAAGCGGCTTACAAAATACGTTAAAACGATATTATAACCAGCGCGGCAGGTTTATTCAAATAGAGGCAAACAGTTTGGGAGGTTTTAAGCTCTTTTGGCAGTTATGACTAATTGCGTGTTATCTACTGATTCTGCTGATAGCAGTTTATAATAGATTAATGTTTAAATCTATTATTAAAAGCTTACTTTGAGCTTATTCTTTTAAATTATTCGCGAATGCATTAGGACCATATGACTAATACTAAATCTATGAACGATGAACAGCCTCAGAAGAAATATTCAGATCAAATGACTGACTACTTATCATGTACAAAATTTACCAAAACTTTTTCGTACTCACATAAATGAGCCCCGAGTAGTATCTGTCTTTGATGTTGTGCAAGACAGAAGCCTCATTGAGGCAAGTCAATTCTGCCATATCTTCGACTTTGTCATATTTGGGAGGGTTCATCTTTTGAATATCATCTTTGGGGACGAATTGCCTCTTGCCAGTTTCGACGACTTCGACTTCTACTTCGTCTCCTCGCTCCCCTTTGATTCCGGCCGCTACGAAGCCGTTCACTTCGTGGGGCACCCATACCAGGCGTTTCTGTGTCCATTCTGCCTGGGTAGCTGGGTCGTTGAAAGCGTTCCTGTCGACAGACAAATACTTGAAATCAGGGTCTGACCGGTCCACTTTTGTATCTCTGTCGGCCATGTTGCAGCTTAGGCGGGCACCGGCACTCTAATATTGCTTATAATAATCTGTTATAACACACCGCACAGAAAACAACACTCAAATAAAACTGATACTAGCTAATAAATAAAATACATCGGGGTAACACTGAAACATGTAACACTGTGTATCCAGAGACGTGTTTCGACAACCGTACCGATCGCCAGCCAAGTAGCATATGAATCCTCACTCGGCTGACGCCTGTTAGTAAAAGGCATTGATTGCGTCCGTGGCCGCGGGGGGCAGCACCCTACAACAGCATCTTCCCAGGAAACCGGTTTGTTAGAATTCATAAATATAAGGGTCATGACAAAATTAAATAAAGGCATTTACGGAATTTATTTTTAAAATACCACGAGTACATCTTAGATCTTATATATACATGTTATATGAAGATGAAAACTGTTTGACCCCGAGTAAATATCCAGTTACCTCATATTTATTTGCATTAGATATTATCTCACCTAATGACCCTTAAATTATTCTAAATTGTACGAAAATAATATCAATTAGCCCTCTCCAATAAATCATCTGTGATAAAACAACCATAGTACCCAATTCGGATAAACTTTATTCGATAATAATCATTATCATAAGTAATAATCCTGGCAAAATAGGATTTTTTCTAAAATCTTAAAGCCAAAAAAGCAAAAATATATATATATTATAATCATAATCGGTTATTAATTTCCAAATGTATTATTCATCCAAAGTTTATAAATCAAATATACAAAAATCATTACTTCAGCAGTTAACTAGGAAAAAAAATAATAGGAAGACATGCTGAAAAATTAAAAAAAAAAAATATTTAGATAAAATCATACAATGACATCATGTAAAAGATGTTCAGTGTGAGTGATCTACTTAAGATAAAGTTCATATAAAATGATTATCGAAACTATCATCGATACAAAATACAATTGTCGTCAAGAGATTATGAAAAATTTTACTGTTTTAAAATAGTTACAATAAATAAATGAAAAATAAACCAAGAATTTTCCTTAAATTGATTGGCCTCTTTATTTTCTTTATAAGTATATTAGGATTACCTTGAAAATTAAACCATACCTATTCACTGGATACATAGTGTTACATTATTTGTTAATTGTAAAGAAACAAAATAATGCAACAATGATTTTAAGGATTGAATTTTCGCCAACATGTCAAACCTGTGGGACTCCTCTGACAGTGAAACGCATTTTAACAGAATGCAGAGCTTGCGAAACATTTATATTATCTTGTGACTTGAAAATGATCTCACATCATTTTACAGGACAATATAAATGAAATTGACAAATTATTTTCTTTTTGAAATGTTCGAAACTTGAAAATAGAATCTAATTCTCAATGAAAATAAAGCAATAATGACCCTAGTGTTTGAACCCTTCAATATAAAAAAAAAAAAAAAGGTCGCATTTTATAAATAAGTTAAGCTATATTAATTAATAAACCACTGAAATTTATGAAAGTGACGAATAGACAATTTTAAATGTACATTTTATTTACTTGTATTATTTATCTTTTTTTTAACTTTTTTTTCTTTTTAAACTGAAGATCATTTTTAATACATAACATATTGCTAAATGGCTTCCTTGGGAGAAGAAAGGGAGAGAATTATTATAATTGAAAACTTAAAAGAAGTTATTCTGCTCATTTTATTTTTTTTTAGTATGTCTTGATGTTTTCATTTTTCATAAATTCAAGGCCATTTGCCACCAATATTTTATTTATTTTAATTTTTGTTATAATATCATTGATAGTGATATTAATGATATATCTAAAAAAAATAAGATAATATTGGTGAAAAATGGCCCTGAATTTATAAAAAATTAAAAGAAGAAGGTATGGACCTTTGAAATGACTTAAATTAAAATGAAATATTCTTTAAAAAAATGATTAATAACAAATGTAGCCAAGTTCAGCTTTGCTTAACAAGTCTGTGAATGACATCAGGGCAGAGATGGATTCAGAGTACCAGTCAATTAGGAACTTTAAATAGTGCCAGCTATTTATTAAAACCTACGTTTCGACCCACTTCGTAGGACTTCATCATGGATAAAATAAACCAGATATAAAATAATGTAGAATATTGTGTGTTCAAAGTTGATGAGATTAATAATATGATTAATAGCATATAAAAGATAGATAATTAATTCAACTAATCATGAATATAGTAAAACAAAAACAATGTACCATTGAAAGAATGGTCATAAGATGTTCTGATAGTTTGAGGCAAACAGATTACAGGAATTTATGGATCATTTTTGTAGAGAAATTCGAGTTTATGGGATTTCAGACCAAAACATAAGGACATAGTCAGGATAATAGATTTTTAGAAATTCTGTATGTTATCTGAAAGAATAGGGAAGAAATCTGTTAAAGAAAAGGATTGTTTCATGCTGTGAAGGATTAAGAGAAAGGGGGTTGCAGTTTTAGGGTATATAAATTCACTTTAGCCCCAATAAAGACGTGCAAATTGGGCCAACATTTAGGATTCAATTAATACTATTTGAAGTTCTTTGTTTACCACTACCCTGGAAGAGATGCCTTCATTATATACATTGCCAACTGTTAAATATCTGACATTAGTTAAAATAAATTTAAATCAATGTTCTTATTTCACCTAATTTGAAATTTTTTTTTTAATCTGATAAAAAGAAAAATATTGGTCAGTTTATAATACATTAATTAAGAAAAATAAATTTTAAATTAATCCTTTATTTAAATTTCTCATAAAATCATCCCATAATACAAACAAACTGGGATCAACTAATTATTTTGTTTACATTGTAATATTTTTAATATTCATACAGTATTTTTATTCTATTAATTGGTAACTTGGTTCTGTTCAAAAATAAAATTTTATTATTTTTTTAAGACTACATTCATGGAAATAAATGTGTAAATAATTAGTAGAGAATTATTGTCATACTTCCAGCAACATTCATTAATATATGTAGCACTGAATTTGTTAATGCTATATGTATTTGGTGTGATTTGTTCATTAATTTACTAAATTTGTTATTTACATACAGTTGACCTATTGAAGGATGAAACCACTGTTTGAATAAAATAAATTGATTCTTAAAATATTGAATTTAGGCAAATGAAATTCCATAGCATAAAAGATTAAATGACCACCATTACAGTATTTTATTATTTAGTGTATTTCTTTTCCCTTTTTATGTATATGTTGCATTTATTTTTTCAATTATATTATTTTACAGATGTATTATTCACTTCAATCTCCCATGTTTCAGCAAAATATTTAACTCAAGAAATCCCAAAATGTAATTTATCTATAGCAAGCGTTAGCATGTTACACATATAACAGATAAATAATTAGGGTGTTTTTTATATTAGCGCTGCCAGTTGTTTTTAAATATAACTGATACGTTTCTATACCAGGTACTTTTCCTGCTTAAAAATAACTGGTGGAGCTAATCTGTGAAAGACCCTACAAATTATTATTAGTATATAAATATCCTAATAAGAAGTATCAATTCCCAATGGATAAGTTATTACCCCTTCCTGAACTCATACAAGGTCCTTCAAAGTATGTTTGGATTGTTATATATATATATTTTTTTTTTTTTTTGTTCTTCCCTACCTCGCCTTTTAGGCTATACGGGATTTTCCCGGGCTGGGGGGTGAGGGCGGGGAATTTAAAATCCCCTCCGGCACCGGGACGCGAACTCGTACTTTTTATATCATCTCAAATCTCTGTTATCCGGTTGTCAGGCAACTAGCGGTGTTGTACACACGCTTTAGCCTATTCGGCCACCCAGCCCCCTTATATATATATATAAGGGGGCTGGGTGGCCGAATAGGCTAAAGCGTGTGCACAACACCGCTAGTTGCCTGACAACCGGATAACAGAGATTTGAGATGATATAAAAAGTACGAGTTCGCGTCCCGGTGCCGGAGGGGATTTTAAATTCCCCGCCCTCACCTATATATATATATATATATATATATATATATATATATATATATATATATATATATATATATATATATACATCCTACACGGCCGATACATCTACGGGGGGAGGGGAGGGAGGCTTTCAGGCTGAAGCCTCCCCTTCCTCCCAAAATGGAAAAATGTAACCATGTTTTATGGAAAAAAATATTTAAAAATTATCTCTTAAAGTATTATTGTTCATGTAATCACATTTAAAAGGACTTTAGGAATCACTTAAACACAATTTCATGTAGACATTTAGTTTATTTCTTTTTTTACAAAGTAATTATCATTATTTTTATGAAAAAAAAGCTTTCGGGCTGAAGCTCCCTCCCCCCCAAAATTAATTCCTGGATCCGCTGGTGACATCCTATATATTATTTCTAAAAGCTGGTTTTTTTTTCGCCATGCCATAACCTTGTCAATTCTTTATCAAAGGCAAAGATTGAGCCCTCATTTTAAAGAACTTCTTCTCCTTCGGGTGGGAAAAATAGTCACATACCCCCAAAATTTAAGGAACAACAGTTATGAGGGAAAAGAACCTTTATTTGCGAATAAATCAAAAAGTATACATTTTTTTTTCTGGATTGTACCCATAATAATTAGAAAGATTACTAAATTACCAACAAAAAAAAAAAGTGTTAAATTTGGATTATTATTAAGGAAAATATAGTCCATTACTTTTAGTATACTTAATAATTTCTTCCTCTTTAAAGATAATTCATTTACTATTCTTTTGCCCTTTTTTTCCTAGCTGATATATGCTTTATTATTTCTTAAAGGCACTTTTTTGATTGTGCATTTTATATTTTTTAATAATTTAGAAAATCCCATGAGTCGATCGATGAAAATCGAGGCTTTATTTTGAATGTTACATTTCCAGTCAGCATTTAAAAATAGGCACTAGTAAAGCAATTTGTATAAATATTTTGGTCTATTATGTTAAATGGGATATTGTAATCGACCTAGTGAAAACAACTAATTCCTCCCTCACATAATACATAGGATCTACTTATTTCTAAATTGTTTTGCAATTCCTTGACTAAAACAAAATTTTCTGCAAATTATTCACAGGGGCCAACAAGTATTTATATAAGAAAAAATCCATTCAAAAGAATTTTTTTTCAAATTTAATTTCATGTGTTACAAAATACCATTCTGTGAGAATATGTTACCGAATGAGAAATACAGAGAATAGTTTTTGTGTTAAAAAATCCTTTTTTTGTTTGTAAAAAATGTTTTGAGATGATAGAT